CCAAGCAGCATCAGAGGAGCAGGAAGGCTGACGTTTTGGGCCTAGAAAGGGTCTAGGCCCGAAACGTCAGCTTTCCTGCTCCTGTGATGCTGCTTGGCCTGCTGTGTTCATCCAGCTCTACACCTTGTTATCAAGGAAAGAGACAGGAATGTCTACCTGATGATTGTCTGCTCTGCTATTCAATGGCTGATCTGATAGTGGGCTGAATGGCTTACTACTGCTCCTACAGTCTTACGGGTGGATGCCATCATTTTGTGCAGAGCACGATCCCAGGAGTGTCAATGGTAGGGATCGATAGTTATTCAGGGTTTGGTGACTGAGAGAAGGATATTAACTAGAACCTGCTGCTCTTTGTCCCTGATCTTTTACTTCCAGCTCAACATGAAGCAACCTTTCAATGGAAATGCAGCCCTTGTGACAATGCTGCATTCCCTGTGTCCTTCACTGGGCTGTCAAAGCTCTGGACCAGAGTGGGTACTGTAGTAGGCTCAGCTAATCTGACCCAGGCCAAGCTGACACACTGTCCTGGACTAACCAGTGCTGACGTGGGCTATGTTTCACCATTAAGTGTGACCTGTGCTTTAGCTTGAGTGGTCACACTCAAGATAAGGATCAAGAAGATCATAGCTGATCTGTTTGTGGCAATTTCCATCTGAGGGTGGTGTGTGTACAGAATGAACCGCCAGAGGAAGTGGTGGAGGCTGGTACAATTACAACGTTTAAAAGGCATCTGGATGGGTACATGAATAGGAAGGGTTTAGAGGGATATGGGCCAAATGCTGGCAAATGGGACTAGATTTATTTAGGATATCTGGTTGGCATGGACAAGTTGGACCGAAGGGTCTGTTTCCGTGCTGTACATGTCTATGACTTTGCCTTAAATGGGAGGGAGACTTTTTCTCATTAAACTGTGCTCTAGTTCGTGTGTTTATTGGCAGTGGTTGCTATGTTATTAAAGCTATGGGAACAGCTTTGTTGTATTGACCTGCTTTTTTTAAGACCATCACTGCAAGACACTATTATGACAGAAAATGAGTCTATTTGCTGCTGACAGTAACTTGCTTTTATCTGAGATGAGTGGCAATTATCAAAAGGTCAGAGAATACTTCCAACCCCACAGGACAGTACTGACCTTGCTTTAACTTCTTCCTTCTGCCTTCTTTGCAACACATTTCAATCTTTCTTTTGATCTTCAGACATTTGTTTGGACTTTACCTTTTGGAAATAAATCCGTCCCTTGAATCGATGTGGGATAGTGTCTGAGTAAGGCCGGAAGGGGGGTGGTTAGAGTTAAAGTTGGCCCTGGTTTTACCCTTCTCCCTGTTGTTGGATGTGGTTCCACTGGATTCTCAGAATTGGATGCCCTTCGTTTCCCAGCAGTCTTTGTGATCTCTGTGCTAAATCCAGATTTGATGAAACAATGGTTTAAAATTCAGTGTAGGATTAAAATGGAATCTGCAATGTTGGAGTTCACTGTCCCCATTGGAGAAATGGATCTGTGTCTTTAAGACTGTGTGTGAAATAGGAGCAGAGAGAGGAAAGTGGCGGGATGTGGGAGGTGGAGGGGTTTGGGGTAAGGGAGGCCAGCTTCACTGGCCAGAGACGACAGGAGGTGTGTCTGTGTCTCTCTGGCTATCACAGTGGCTACTTTCCTTACTTCTATCTATCTTGTCTCTTTGCTCTTGTGTCCCTTGGAAAATGGGAATTCTCACTGGACTAAGACCAACCTTTGGCTGCAGCGGTCCTGGGGGCATGTAACCTCATGATAAGAGAGTTATTGACCAGTCTGTATCCATGAGCCTGCATTAGAGCCAGACACGAGGTGAGGGCCCCCAACCCCTCGCTATACAATTGTAATGTGTTTTCCCTCCCCCAGCTATAGAGTCATAGTCATACAGTGCAGAAACAAACCCTTCAGTCCAACTCGTCTGCACGAACCAGACATCCCAATCTGACCACCTCCCATTTGCTTGTGCTTGGCCCATATCCCTCTTAAACACCCACCTATTCATCTATCCATCCAATCGTCTTTTAAATGTTGTAAGTGTACCAGCCTCCTCTACTTACTCTGGCAATTCATTTCACACACAAACCACCCTCTGTGTGTGTGGAAAAAGTTGCCCCTCAGGTCCCTTTTAAATCTCTCTCCTCTCACCTTAAAATCTGTCCCACCTTTGCCATTCACTCTGCGGTACCTGTGTTTGGAATCCCAGCAGTTGTGGGTCTGAGTAAGTTTGAATGGATCGTTGCTACATGGATGAACACAAGACAGTCCCCTCCTGGTGAAGGGATGGACACAGTGTCACACCACGAGATCTCACTGACATCTGTCACAGTCAAGACACTCGCTTGGCAGACAGAATAGTGTCATTGTGAAGGAAGAATGGAGATACCTTTCCAAAGGGGACCTCAAAGTTCAAAAGATAGAATTGGTACCTCCAATAGAAACGTAGAATGTGATTTCACTGCTTTAAAAAAACATTAACTGTGGAAATAGACAACACACTCTCAATCTGGGAATGGACACATCCAAGTTATTTGGCGATTTTACTCCCTGCTGCATGGGTCCTCCACCACCTCAAGGGCAATTAGGGTCGGGCCTAGCCAGTAATGGCCATGTCCCATAAAAGAATATGAAAGAAGTCTTTTAGCCAATTACTGGAGGCAAAATATCTGAGTTAATTGGATATGGTGGGGGTTTTGAGTTGAATGATCTTGGGGACTGTGACATTAGAGAGCTTGTCAAAAATGTCCCCCCCTTCCCCCCACCTCCCCAGTGGTCAGCAGGAAATGGTAGGTTCACAGGGTCTGATCACGGTGGTGAACTAGGAAATGTATCTGTCACAGCAGTGACCGCAAGGTTAGAGGTGACACTTTTTTGAGTCGACTGTTCACTCACCAGCTGTTTTGGTTGTCACCATTGGGATTGTAGTGGGAGGAGGCTGCTCTGTTCTCTTCAGCCTGTCCTGTGCCATGCTGTAGACCTGATCCTTCAGTATTTCATTGCCAGAGACCAAGCTCTTGCTCCTGCTGTTGCTGCCATTCAGGCTGTTGGGTATCACAGCCACAAGTGGTGGCTCTCCTGGTGCCTGCTGATAAACACACAAACCCCAGGGAGATCATTGTATGTAAGATTGTTGCACCTCTAACCGAGAAATATTTATTTACTAATTAGCTCTTGCCTGTCCCATAGTGTGACTGGGTTCAGCATCTACAGATTAGTGGATATTAAAGTCCTGAGCTGAGTTCTTGTTCATTGGCAGCAAGGGTGGCCAGTGAATATCTCGGATATACACTGTACCGCCCTTCTCCATAGCCACTGGGCCAGCTGCTGGTGGCTGTCTCTGTGTGTCTGTCTCCAACTCGGACATATGCTACTGTCTGCAGTATGTTGCTGAAGGTGCACAATCTAATGGTCATAACGCGAAGAATGTGATGGAGTTTGAGAGAGGGGAAGTGGTGCTGGTTGAATCACTATTATGGTTCACTTGGTTAAAGCAGCTCTTTCTGAACCTGGAAATACCTCTTTGTATTAGAGCCCTGGGTCTCTCAGTTGTTTCTGCCACTTTCCTCTGTTCCTCGTGGCTAACATTCCACATCTCCCTGAGACCCCACTGGTGGGATTGTTGTGTAGTTTGTTTGGGGGCGGTTTTGGCCACACTCTACCTGCCCTGAAGGTAATGACACTGTGTAAGAGGCATCAGGGTCCCTGTGACAGAGCTGGGATCGGGGTCACAGTCCCAGTGATGAGGTCCCATTGACGGTGTCACGGTGTTGGGATCCCAGTCCCTGTGACAGAGCTGGGATCGGGGTCACAGTTCCAGTGATGGGGACACAGTGATGGTTACCAGTTTGTTACACCTCCCCTCCTCCCAGCTCCTGATTGGAACATTGTGAGGATTGGGACCAATAGTGAAACAGAGCACTTACTCACTCATTCCAGCAAGGACTGAGAGAGAGTGTGTGTCTGGTTTGTAGAGTTGATGTAGAGGATAATGAGTAAGGGCAGCAATGGTTTTACCTGTTGTTTGAACTGCTGCTGGTGTCCCAGACAGTGCAGTGTGCACTGTTGCTCCAGCTCGCTGATAGTGTGACTCTGGTTGTTCAGGATCGAGGTGAGGGCTGTGTACTTGCGCTCCAGCTCCCTGTACTTGCTCGATAGCCTCAGCACCTGGGCTGTGACGTTCAGCACCTTGTTCTCCAGTTGGGAAAGCTCTAGGGAGTCATCCTTCTTCTGAATGATCTCGTGCAGTAACTGGGTGTAGAGCTGAGACACTCTGGAGTTCATGTTGTGGTTTTCCTTCCGCAGAATCTTCACCTCATTGAGCACGGCCCCGTCAACCTCCACCATTTGTCTCAGGTCCTCAATTTGTTGCTGCTGTTCCCTCATCTCCTGGCGCATGACCTGCAGCTCGCTCTGGTTGATGCTGTTGTGGGACACTGGGCTCCTGGTGTTGAGGCAGATGGGACCTGTCAGGTGTTGCTGTGGGACAATGAAGGTGTAGGTACAGCCACTGGTCCCTGGGCCCTCCGGTGAGGGCCTGGCCTGTTGGCTGGGCCCCCCTCTCTGGGCGTGTTGTTGGCTGGTGCTTGGTTTTGGAGAAGCTGTTTCAGCTGCTGCTAAACTGGCCAGGACCAGGAGGCTGGTGACGAATCTCAGCATCATTCGTGTTGGGCTGTAGGAGCCTGAAGGCTCAAAATCTGCAAGAAATGAAAAAACAAAACATTGAAACATGAAAATATAGAAACCAGGAGCAGTAGTAGGCCATTCAGCCATTTTGAGCCTGCTGCACCATTCCATACCATCATGCCTGATCCTCTCTTTCAACACCATATCCCTACTTTCTCCCCATACCCCTTAATACTTTTAAACTTTAAAACAAAAACAAAATATATCTGTCTCTTTGCTGAATATATTCAGTGACTTGGCCTCCTCCACATTTCTGTGATAGAGAATTCCATGATCTTTGAAAACTAGTTTTAAGGCTCACATTGTGCTGTGTTTGTTAGCCGTTTTTCCCACCACCTATCAGCAAAACCCTTCATGGTGACAGTTCTGGAGGAAAACTGATGCGTGTGGAATTAATCCAGTGAAGCAGCTAATGGCTTCAAGAGGGAGGAGTGAGGGGAAATATTTAAAGAGTTTATAATGGTCATCCTTGATTTCAAATTCCTCCAGACTGTGCCCCTCCCTATCTGGTAGTCTGTCCAAATGTGACCTCTTCTATATACCTCCCAGCCGTGCACCGTTTCCACCCCGTTCCCCCCCCCCCCCTCAATTTCCAACACTCCTTGGTGACCAAGCCTACAGGTAATTGGGCCATAAACTCTGGAATTTTCTCTTGCTGCTTCCTCATTCAAAACTACCACTGACTGAGCTGTCTTCAAATAGGAGATTGACACAAGGTGGGTGGCATGGTGGCTCAGTGGCTAGCCCTGCTGCCTCACAGCACCAGGGACCCGGGTTCGATTCCACCCTCTGGCGACTGCCTGTGTGGAATTTGCAAATTCTCCCCATGTCTGTGTGGGTCTCCTCCGGGTGCTCTGGTTTCCTCTCGCAGCCCAAAGATGTGCAGGTTAGGTGGATTGGCCATGCTAAATTGCTCATGGTATCCCGGTATTGACAGGTTAGGTGGCTTCGCCGTGGAAAGTGCAGGGTTACAGGGATAGGATGGGATGCTGTTTGGAGGATCAGTGCGGACTCAATTGGCTGAATGGCCTCTACCTGCGCTATAGGGAATTCTGTGATTCTAAGTACCTCATTGTTGAGCTTGTCAGTTCTTTTCTCCTGTTTTGAGGGCCTTTTGGCCATTTTATTTTGTTCAATGTGCCCTGTATTTGATTGAAAGTGTGTTGAAAGATCATTCCAGTCTTGATAGCAGTTTCCACATCCATTCCTGAACAGCCTTGGGTGGGGGGTGAAGAAGAGAAAGAAAATTTGTTTGTTCACCTCTCTGTCTGCTAACAATGTCGATTGGGAAGGGGAGGAAGAACCTTGCTGCAGGCAGAATCCCCATTCATTACCAGACTTTACTGCTGTATCACCTGGTCAAATCCAGACAGGGTGAGTTCTGCTTCCAGCAAAACGGATGTGTGGAAATACTGGTCTTTTGGAAAAGTCTTGGCTGCGGGTGAGGATGGGAATTGTCCTGGAAGAGGTCTGTCCTGTGAATCTGTTTCCAATGTTGAACAGAGTGCTTGTGAATGTGGTCAGTGTTCACATCTTTCTGAGCTTGGTTTATAATCCACAGGCAATGGAAACACCTTTTTATCTCGGGCACGTTGACTTCCCAGAATCACTGAACTGTGACCGTGCAAAAGAAGTTCCATTCGGCCCATCCTGTCTATGGCTGCCTCTCCAAATGAGCTTTTCACCCAGTATCATTCTCCTCCTGCCTTCTCACTGAAACCATCATCCTTCGCAGATGATGATCTCATTCCCTTCTGAAAAACGTTGACTCAATCTGCCAAAAAAAATGAAACCTGTGCCAATTGTACACTGTCCGTTACAGATAGGTGCAAAGCTGACTGTTGACATTTTATTGGACTGCAATTTAGTCACTTTGCTTAAATGAAGGGTGAGACAGAATGGTCGCTGAAAACATTGTGTACTAATTATTTCATCTGCACTGATGTTGGTTTAACTTACTTTTTCTATTTGTCTCAGTCTCATTTCTTTTAAAAAAAAATTCCAAAATATCAAGAGGTTAGAAAACGTTGGTAATCTGACATTCCATAGAGTAAAATACTTTGTTTTTATTCCTGATTGTTATTGGGACAAACAGAGAGCTGACAAATTCAGAAGTCTGTGACTTTCTTGGCTTTTTATGAAGTGCGGCTTCAATTGAGGGTGTTTCTCCAGAATGATGTCACTTCTTGTGTTTGTGCTTCACTTGCTGCCCCAGCGCTGTGTGATCGTAGGATTCTGTGATCCTTGTGGTCAGGGGTGGTGGAAAGTGTCTCTTTCTCTTTGAAGTTTCAATGTGTTTGACTTGGCATGGGCTCGTGAAGAACCAGTTTGTGGATTTTGTGAAGTGCTGCTGGGTGACTTGATTGTTGCATAAGTTTATAGAATGAAGGATAAATTCTAGGACCCTACATGAAAACCGAAAGAAATGCAGATGCTGTAAGTCAGAGACAAAAACAGAAGTTGCTGGAAAAGCTCAGCAGGTCTGGCAGCATCTGTGGAGAGAGATCAGAGTTAATGTTTCGGGTTGAGTGACCCTTCCTCAGAACTTCAAACTCTAACTCCGATCTCTCTGCACAGATGCTGCCAGATCTGAGCTTTTTCAGCAATCTCTGTTTTTGTCGAGGCCCTACACTTTGGAGATCATGTGGCAATGTCAGTCTGGATTCTCAACCCCTGATCTCTGTCCTTGGTGGATTGGATGAGAACTATGAAATGTCTATCCATAACATCACGGTCTTTTCATGCAATATTTGTAGCGACATCCTCGAGCAATTCAGGTGTTTGACAAGAAATTGCTGAATAATCAAAGACCCAGCAATTGGTCAGTTGGTTGCCTGGGGATAGTGACAGTGAGGTCCTGAGGTAAATACTTGTTGCACCATCATGAGTATCTGAAATAACTAGAAGGAAAATGCTTTCAAGGGAAGTTTGCAAATGGCTGGAACATTGTGGCTGAACACTTCCTTCTGCTGCTGACCCCTCACACTTTGTCTCCCTCTCCCCACACTTCTCTAGCCCTGCACACTGCGCACCCGCCCCGCAGCCCCCAAACAAAACCTGCAGACATTTAAATTCCTGAACGAGGCAAAAGAGAGACGGTAAAGGCCTGGGCCAAGAAATACTCTTAAGTATTGCCCTCGAATCCCAACAAGCAATCAGGACCAGTCTGGGAGATCTCTCCCATCAGAGGCTTGTGTTTACCTTCCGAATGATGAAATGGCAGTCACAGTCAGGAATCAGTCTAGCACCACCCCCCCCCCCCCCCCCCCCCCAACAGCCTCTGAACAGATCTCACAATCCAAACATGTTGTACTTCTACAAACCTACCAGGATCTGGTTTGTCCCAGAGTGAATCCCAAACCAGTCATTTCTCAGAGTAAATCCCATGGTGTGAGTTTGTCTTAGCTGTTCCTGTGCTAGCTACGTACAAAACGAGCCTGATGCAAACACGGAGTATTCTCAACTCTCCAACTCAGGAAGCAATTAAAATGCCAAGATGAGTACTGATTATAGCGCAGGGTTTAGTCAGTGTGGCAGCCAGTGCTAATTGTAACCTCCCTGTCAGTCTGTGTTTTTACATCCGTTGTCTGTGATCTGTAGCTGACAGCTGCTGTTTCACCTCCCGAACTGTGGGAACTCGCTCATTAATCCACCCCACCCATGTCTCTCCCTCACCAGATTCCCACAGCCCGTTTTTAAATTATTTATATTCCAGTGTCTCGATTCCCTCTGCTCCAACCTCTATCTCGCTCGCCTAGTCCCTGAGACAGAGATGCATTTTATGATAACTGTGATCTTTTTGAAAATTAAGTTCACTGTCCCCTGTACATCTGAACAGTTCAACCACATTTTCCATTTCCCCAATCTCGACAGCAAAAATATTAATTTACAACATGCCTGGATGTTTTCTTTATTAAAGTGGAGGTTAAGCCATTCCCACAATAGCCCCCTTTTGTACCCACAACCTCAATCTCCTGAAAGGATCCAGTTAGCAGATACATGGGAGTACTTCCACCTGTGAGTTCCCCTCTGAGCCGTACACCATCCTGAGTTGGAAATATATTGCCGTTTCTTCAAAGTCGCTGGGATAAAATCCTGGAACTCCCTCCCTAACAGCATTGTGGATGTCTCCACTCTACATAGTGGTTTAAGGAGCTAGTTCGCTACCACCTTCTCCAGGGTAGTTATGGATGGGGGATCAAACACAAGCCAAGCCAGCAATGCCCACATCCTGTGAACACACCAAATCTACCAGGAAATTATTCTCCTACCTCTGTCCAGATGACAAAAAGCCATATTCAGACTTTAAATGTATGTTGCCATGGGTTGTAGGATTCTCTGGTTGTTGATAGTGAAGGACCCAGGCTATGGTGATTTAGGATTTATCCAAGGGGGACCCCCACATGAAGCCAGAATCTCCTAGCTCAGACTCTGGTCTCTGGTTAGGGCTGTGTTTTGGCCCAGGCTTCCTGTTGTGAGTGCAGTTCTGAACGGCTCAAGAGCCATTCCCAGAAGCTCAGAATGGGAACCTCCAGAATACCATGGCAGTCAGGATAATGTTCTGTCATGTGGCAGTGAGCAGTTTTATGTATCTAAGGTGTGTCTAAGGATGGATGTGTTGGCCTTGGAAAGAGTCCAGAGGAGTTTACAAGAATAAACCTGGGGATGAAGGGCTTGTATGAGGAACGGTTGAGGAATCTAGGTCTGTACTCGATGGAGTTGACAAGGATGAGGGAGGGATCTGATTGAAACTTATATAATACTGAGAGGCCTGGATAGAGTCTATGTGGAGAAGATGTTTCCATGAGTAGGAGAGACTAGGACCTGAGGGCACAGCCTCAGAGTGAAGGGACAACCCTTTAGAAATGAGATGAGGAATTTCTTTAACCAGAGGGTGGTGAATCTGCGGAACTCGTTGCCACAAGAGGGATGTGGAGGCCTAGTCATTGAGTGTGGTTAAGACAGAGACAGCACCTTGATTAGTAAGGGAATCAACAGTTACAGGGAGAAGGCAGGAGAATGGGATTGAGAAACACATCAGCCGTGATCAAATAATGGAGCAGACTCGATGGACCGAATGGCCTAATTCTGCCCCTGTAATCTATGGTGTAGATGTTGGACATAATGCCTGTTGACTGTCAGTTAAATGTTTTAAACAGTACAGTTTTAAATCTGGAAATGCCAACTCTGGATGTATCCCGAGAGGTTTAATCGCATGATCACCATCATCTCCTGCCATTGGTCAGTTGACATATCCATCCTCTCATGCCCTACTTTCTGTCAGCCAATCAGGAAGCCAACAGACTCTGTCAACTCATAAATGGGAAGTAATTCAATCAAATATTTCACCCCATCTCCAGTACTTAGTTATTTTTAAAAATAATTCACTGTCCTTCAGGAAATGAATATTTAATTTTGGGAGCCTCTAGGGTAATTCTGCAGTGTTGGTAACCCTCATTATAAACTGATAATTGCCTCCTAGGATGTTATTTGTCCCAGTCCTCTGGGACAGTTTCTCCAATTTCTTGCACAGAAAGAAAACAAACAGAGAGTTCAAGTCTGAAATGAAGCAGGAGTCTAGTCAGCTGGTCACTTAGTTTTCAAAAGTAAATGATTTGAATGTGACCCTTCCTTTAGCAGATTAACTATGGTAAAATCATAGCTGAGATACAAAGCTCATGTTCCTGTCTGTGTGTCTGTGTGTGTGTGTGTGTCTCTCTCTCTCTCTCTCTCTCTGTGTGTGCCTGTCTCTTTACACACAGAGTGGTGGGTGTGTGGAATGTGCTGCCAGCAGTGGTAGTGGAGTCAGATACTTCAGAGACTTTTAAGCGACTCTTAGGTTGGCACATGGTGGATAGTAAAGTGTAGGGTATGCAGGGTAGTTTGATCTTAGGAGGATAATATGTCGGCACAACATCGTGGGCCGAAGTGCCTGTACTGTGCTGTACTGTTCTATGTTCTCTCTCTGTGTCTCTCTCTCTCTGTGCGTGTGTGTGTGTCTCTGTCTCTCT